ATGCTCCCTCTATCCCCAGATCTTTTCACAGCTATTTAAGAGGTGTCTCCTGTTTTTTGGAGGGCCTTGCACATCCCCGGCTACTCTCCAGTGAGCTCTACTTCTTACCTCCTGGTTTGGGGTGTTAAGCTGCAGTCTTGGGTGTTTGCTCTCCTTCCACAGTGCTATCTGAGCTCTGCCCTGGGACCCAGTCCTCACTTGTGCCCACCTTACCTCTAATTTCCCATCTCTTCAATTTTTCCCTGATATCTCTGTTCTCTTCTCCATGTCTCTAGGTCGCAGTCTTAGAGTTTGCCTTTCCCTCTGCATTCTCTTTCTCTTCCCTAATCAGTGTTCCCTCTCTCCGTAGGAGGAAGCTCACTATGGCTCCAGTCCCCTGGCCATGCTGACAGCAGCGTGCAGCAAATTTGGTGGCTCCAGCCCTCTACGGGACTCAACGACATTGAGCAAAGCAAGCACAAAGAAGCCATACTCTGTGGGCAGTGACCTTTCAGCCCCCAAAACCATGGGGGATGCCTACCCAGCCCCCTTTTCAAGCACCAATGGGCTCCTCTCACCTGCAGGCAGTCCTCCAGCACCCACCTCGGGCTATGCCAATGACTACCCTCCCTTTTCTCACTCATTCCCTGGGCCCACGGGTACCCAGGACCCTGGGCTACTAGTGCCCAAAGGTCACAGCTCTTCTGACTGCCTGCCCAGTGTCTACACCTCTCTGGACATGGCACACCCCTACGGCTCCTGGTACAAGGCAGGCATCCACGCAGGCATCTCACCAGGCCCAGGCAATGCTCCTACACCTTGGTGGGACATGCACCCTGGGGGCAACTGGCTAGGTGGTGGGCAAGGCCAGGGTGATGGGTTGCAAGGGACACTGCCCACAGGCCCTACTCAGCCTCCATTGAACCCCCAGCTACCCACCTACCCATCTGACTTTGCCCCCCTTAATCCAGCCCCCTACCCAGCTCCTCATCTCCTACAACCAGGACCCCAGCATGTCCTACCCCAAGAAGTCTATAAACCCAAGGCAGTGGGCAATAGTGGGCAGCTGGAGGGGAGCGGTGGAGCCAAACCTCCTCGGGGTGCAGGCACAGGGGGCAGTGGTGGATATGGGGGCAGTGGAGCAGGGCGCTCCTCCTGTGACTGCCCCAACTGCCAGGAGCTAGAACGCCTGGGGGCAGCAGCAGCTGGGCTAAGGAAGAAGCCCATCCACAGCTGCCACATCCCAGGCTGCGGAAAGGTGTATGGAAAGGCCTCACACCTGAAGGCCCACTTGCGCTGGCACACGGGTGAGAGGCCCTTCGTCTGCAACTGGCTGTTCTGTGGCAAGAGGTTCACCCGTTCAGATGAGCTGGAGCGCCATGTGCGCACTCACACCCGGGAGAAAAAGTTCACCTGTCTGCTCTGCTCCAAGCGCTTTACCCGGAGTGATCACCTGAGCAAACACCAACGCACCCATGGCGAGCCAGGCCCAGGCCCTCCACCCAGCGGTCCCAAGGAGCTGGGAGAGGGCCGCAGCACCGGGGAAGAGGAGGCCAGTCTGACACCCCGACCTTCAGCCTCTCCAGCACCCCCAGAGAAAGCCCCTGAAGGCAGCCCTGAGCAGAGCAACCTGCTGGAGATCTGAGCTGGGTGGAGGGTCTCCAGCCCCAACGCTATTTGCCAGCCTCTTCTGGCTCCATGGACCACTGCTTGCCCCTCACTCCTTTTGCCCCATGCATGCTGTCCTTTGGGGCTCTCACCATCTCTCCCTTGGCTATTCTGAGCCTGGGTATCTCCCTGCATGCCTCCT